GCTCCCGCCTGTCACCGCCCGGCGCCGGGGAGGGTGGTTTTATACCCCATTAAGCCTGATTGGCAGTGAAAGTGTTGGGGAGCTCGCACTCCTGGTTCTGGGAGTGGCTGCCTCTGCTCTGCCCTCCCCCGGAGCCGCGCGGCTCGTCCCCTCCGGGCTGCTGCAAGGCTGCTCCTGCACCCCTGGGCGAAGGGGGCTCCTTGCCTAAGGTGCACCCAGGAGACTTCAGCCCATTGCGGACCGTCCTGCTTGGAGCAGGGGCTTGGGCGACATGCGTGGGTCTCAGCCTTCCCTTCTTTTCGCGCTGGCACCCGTATGTGGACGCCGATGGCCAGTCCCTCGCTCCCGACCCGCTGCCCCCAGGGCTCGGCGCTCCAGCCTGTGGGGCGGGAGGGCATCGGGAGCCCCTTTCGGGCTTGTTGATCCGTTCATATATTGTTGCGACCCACTTTTGGGTCGTGAGCCCCACGCAGGGAAATGCCGGACTAGCTGAGGTCCCTGCCAACCCTCATTGTCTATGATTCTGTTATCTATTTCCCTGCCACAGCACCTTGCACCTCTGGGTGCTGGTCCTCATCCAGCACAGGCTGGGGACAACCAAAATCTACCACCATTGCCCTTGTGCTTTATTGGTTTGAAGTTTTCAGTCCCTCAGACAGATGTTCTCAACACAGATGTCAAGATGACAGATGTCAAAATGACTGGTGACACCCTTGAGGGTCCGGGCAGTAGAAAAGCCAGGCTGGGGTGGGGGCTGAGTCTCTCTCATCCCACAACATTCGTTTCCCTTTGCTTGTCCAAGTCCTGTGTCCAGTTCCATGCCTGGGTTGCAACACAGGGAGGTCCCATCAAGGCTACCCAGCACGTGTCATAAGTAGGTAAGGGGTAAATGTGTTGTAATCCGGTCCCCTGACATTGCTGATTGCCCTGGTAAGCAAACAGTGGCAGCTCTGGTGAGGAGGTTCTGCCTGCTACGTTTGCACTGGGAGCTGCTGCTTTTGCACAGTTAATAATTGTGGTTGCAACTAGAAAGCCTCATCTCATCAAGGCAGAACTAACAAAAAAACTCAAGGAAGTTGTTCCCCGTTCTCTGCCCCCCACCCCAGTGGTGTATCTGGCTGTGCTGGAACCCGTTGCT